TGGATGGAGGGATGGATGGATGGATGGATGGATGGATGGATGGATGGATGGGCGGGTGGGTGGATGGATGATGGATAGATGGATAGATGGATAGATGGATGGATGGGGAAGTGTGGAGGGATGGAGAAAGGTGGCTGGCTGCCTAGCTGGAGATGGATGGAGAAAGGTAGATGGAGATGAATAGACAGAAGGATGGATGGAGAGGATGGAGGTGGAAAGATGGAGATGGATGGATGGATAGAGATGAGTGGTTAGAGATGGATGGATGGATGGGTGCATGGAGATGAATGGAGACAGGTGGATGGAGATATATGAGGATGGGTGCGTGTGTGCGTGGAGGGAAGGAAAAAAAGAAGGGAGGAAGAAAGGAAGTCTCCCTGCAGACAGGACACAAGGCACTAAGGATGTGCTAAGAGTCTGCTGGACACCAACATCACTGCAGAAATAAGACCTAAGAACCTCTGAGTCTCTGCTGAGTTTGGTTGGTGGGTATCAACGATGCACGTGCAAATCTCAGAGCTGCCAACCTGTTACATCCCCTGCAGCAACAGATTGGAAACTCATGGACTGAGGCACGTTCCCCAAACAAGAGCTTTGAAGGCAGGTGATGACTGCTTGGAAAAGAGCTGGAGGAGCCAACAAAATGCTTTGGCTTTGTGGGATTTTACATGGAAAAGCCCAGGCCTGAAGCTCCATGCAGGCAGGGTGCAGGCAGGCTGCCCAGAATTGCAGAGCAGTCCTTGTGTAAAGCTCAGCCATGTGTTTGCATGCAGCCCTCCCTCCTGCATCTCCCCGTGCACTCCTGCATGCGTAAAACATCCCCATGAATCTGGCCAGCCCAGTGCCAACCTTCTCTCTCCAGGGCCAGATCCTGAGCCTATACCCCCATTGGCACAGGGGTGGCTGCTGCCCCGCATCACCAACCCGCCCAACATCCGTACCCAGAGGTGATAATAAGCAACAGCCATCCATCACCCCTGCTGGAGTGTGCTTCCCCAAAGCCCCACATTGGTGCTCTCCCCTCTGTTAGGGTGCAGGGTGAGCTGATGTCCCCTTCCAGAGCTGGTGTCCCCACGGGCCGTGCCTGATGGCACAGGCAGAACCCGAAAGCAGCGCACCCAAAATATCGCCTGGGGGAGAAAAGCTGAGATTTCCCCGCCCCAGCCATGTAATTATAGATCTGCAGTAACAGCAAAAAAAAGAGAAAACTCCCAACCATGGCCCAGAACGTGGTTCCTATGGAGATGGGTGAGAAGGGAGCAGAGGGGTGGCATGAGGACAAAGGACAACAGGTCCCAGTCCCGCCAAAACCCCGGCACAGCCACGCATCCCCCTCTGCAACCCCATTTTTTCCTCCTCCTTCCATGCTAGGAGAGCTTTTCTCATGTGTCCCTTCTGGGCAGCACCAGGTGGGGGAAGGCTGTGTTCCCATGACACGTCTGATCCCACGAGGTGCTGCGTTTAAGTCAATATTTTCCCATTGGGTCCGACTGCTACTAAGTCAACAAACAGCACGTGGCAGCAAGCTTACCTGATCTTCCACCCCCCCCCAAGGAAGCACGTGTGCCCCCATCCCATCTGCTTTTGGGATGCTGCTGCCAGGAAACCTCATTTTTCCTTATTTTTGTGATGCACTTTTTTAAATCTTTCTGCCTCCAAAGTGTTGCTTCTCCCTGCAGGCTCTGCTCTGCAGAAGGGTTTTGCTGCAGGATGCACGGGCAAAAATAAAAACCCAGTGCACGGGTTTGAAGCTCTCCGGCACCAGGGATTCCCCAGCCCCATAGAGAACTGCTGGAAGGAGCCCAGGACAAACAGTTACAGAACAGCACGTTGCAGCCACCCGCCAGCACACGCAGCCCAGCAGGCACCAAGGGCAGTGAGAAAATGGGGGATCCTTGGGGCAGGGTTGGGTTCTACCATGCTGGGAGCAGCCGGATGGATTTGGGCACTGTGTTTTTCTTGGGATTTTGGAGCTCTGAGCTCCGTGCACGCCAAATAAATTTGGGAAAAAAATGCAAAGCATGAAAGCAAATCCTTGGTGGTGCTGGGAATGGTGGAGCTGGAGTCCTCACCTCCCATGGACGCCGCAGGGATTGCAGTTTGGGCTCAAACGGCGCTTGGACAGCAGTGCTGGGTGAATGAAAGGCAGCTCCTAATGCAATGGGATGAGGCAGGGCTGAGAAAGGAGGGACATGTCCCTGGGGAAGAGCGCTGTGAAAACACCAGACCCCTTCATTACTTCCCAGAGACAGACAGAAGGACGGACGGACGCCGTGACGCAGATGACCATTTTGGAAGAGCAAAAGCCCCCATGGAGGAATGACAACGGAATGGAGCAGAGGAGCAACCGAGGGGGGAGAAACCAAGACAAAATAAATGGAAGATGAGGGTGATTTCTTCCCCGTAGGTCCCAAGTTACATCCAGCCCTCAGCGCTGCGCCCTACAACAAAAGCAACGTGGTTCCCCCTCCCCCCCCCCCCCCCCGGCCACGGTCGGTGCCATCTGAAATAAAACATCCCAGCGCTGCCCTCTAATAAATCAAAGGGAAATAAAACGCTGCTTTAAGTTCTTTGCAGCTCAAAGAGTCTCGGAGGCAGGAGGGAGATTCAAAGATACGGCCGCAGCGTTGGCCTTAAAAGGCAAAATTCGCCCCTGCGGTGCCGGGTTCGAACAAGGTGAGCACCACTGGTCCCACGGCCTCAAGGCGATGCTGGGCCAAACTGGGCTCCCAGTTGCCAGCAACTGATGGGTTGGCTGGGGTAGAATCTGCTCCAAATGAGTCCCAGGTTGGCCTGGATGCTCCTGGTTGGGAACTGCAACTTGGTGCTCCAACAGCACTTCTCACCCCATGATCATGAGGTCTCTTGCAAATAATTAGTCCCCAACAATTATTATGGACCAGACCCTTGCCCCATAGATGCATCACGGGGAGGTGAGCGCTCGGTCTGTACCAAAAAACACAGCCAAACTCACCCCAACCAATTCCCAAAGGGCACAGTGCTGGGGTCCTGTCTCCCATCAGTGCCATGGCAATGCCATTAGCCTCTCCCCTCCATCTCCTCTTCCCTTCCAACCATCCCGGAGGCGTCAACCAAATCGGCACCAACATGATCCATAAATTATTTCGTGCAAACAACCACGCAGAAAGCAGGGCACGTCGCAGCTGTTTGCTGCTATTCCTGCAGCCTGGGGCTGGGAAAAGAACCCAACCTGCCGCCACCCGCACCCATCTGCGGGGTGGGACGTGCCGCAGCACCCAGCACCCACCTGACCATGGGTGCTGGGAACTCAGCAAGGAGGATTTCTGCTGTCCTTTGCAATCGTTGGGACAGGGGGGGGGGGGGGGCGAATTGGTGAGCGCAGAGCACGGGGAAAGAGGTGGATTGAGCAGAAAATGGGTGCTGATAACAGTAAGGCAGCCACCCTCGCCCAAGGGCATGGATCAAAGGCGGCGCTGCAGCTCCAACCCGATGCAGGAGCACGGATGAGTTCATGGGATGGCTGCAGGTTCAGCAAATCCTGTGTCCCTGGGTGGGGGTCCTGCTGCCCCCTATACCTGGGGGGCTATGGAGAGCCCTCCAACTCCGGCATGACCCTTTGGATTTGCCACGAAGATGCTGGGGTAATGTTGGAACCGGATGATCTTTAAGGTCCCTCCCAAGCAAAGAGGGGGAGTCCCTGTCCCTTATTGCAGCCCTGGAGTGTGCCATTGGGGTACATGTGACACTGGGACAACACAGGTCCCAGTGTGTTTTGCTCCAACAAAACCCAGTGGGAACCCAAAGGGAACTCCAGCAAAACCCAGTGGGAACCTAAAAGAAACTTCAAAGGGCATTCGAAGAGATCTCCAACAAAATCCAGTGGGAACACAATGGGAACTCTAACAAAACCCAGTAGGAACCCCAAGGCCGTGCCAACAAAACCCAGTGGGAATCCCTAGGAAACCCTCACAAAACCCAATGGGAACCCAGAGGGAAATCCAATAAAGCCCAACAGGAATCCAAAGGACATTCCAGTAAAACCCAGTGGGAATCCAAAAGGAACTCCAATAAAACCGAATGGGAACCCAAAGGAAACTCCAAAGGGAGTCCAAAGGGAACTCCAACAAAACCCAATGGGAACCCAGAGAGAACTGCAATACAACCCAGTGGGCACCCAAAGGACAAACAAAAAAAACAATGGGAACCCCAAGGAAATGGGAATCCAGAGGGAGCTCCAATAAAACCCAGTGCGAATCCAAAGGACACTCCAGCACGATCCAGCAGGAATCCAAAGGGAACTTCAACACAACCCAGTGGGAACCCAAAGGAAATTCCAACACAACCCAATGGAAACCCAAAGGAACCTTCAACAAGAACCCCAAGGACACTCCAACAAAACCCAGCGGGAACTGAAAGAACACTTCAGCACAACCCAGTAGGAACCCAAGCATTCCGGGGATGTTCAGAGAGGAAAATGGGGGGGAAAAAAAAGAAGAATTTTGTTATATTCACACACACTCTTGGGAAAATATCCTCACTTTGCATCTCATCCTGGCCAGCAAGGGTTGTGCTGCCTGGGCACTTCCTTGGCTGCTGCAGGCTTTGCAAGAAGTTGCACAGCCCATCCTCTCCCTGCAATAAATCGCCACCCAAATGGGGCTCAAGTATTTCTGGGCTTCGGCCCGGCGCCATGTGGGGATTTCAGCCCACGGGGACTCGTGCTGAGTTATTAAAAGCCCAATGGGTGTAGGAGGTGGCAGCGCTTGCAAGTATGGCATCACTTTTCTAGCAGCTTTGTGCGTCCCCTATCCACACTCCCAAGTGCAAAAATCCGTACCTTAGAGCCCCTAATAAACAGGGTTAAACTTTTATATTACAGCATGCACAATCACCTTTTCCCCCAGTTTTTCCCCTCATCTTTAAAAATGAACATTAATTCAGCTCCAGCCACCAGTGAGCCTCAAGTTGCAGAGTTTTAGGGGAAAAAGCTGTGCTCAGCACGTTCCCATGCAGAGCAATTGCAAGGCATTTTTTGGGTGGAAAGCACTGGTTTGCTCAATGGGGCAGAACGGCAGAAATACCAATGAAAAAGGCAGCTTAAGCCCTCTGCCAAGGCAAAAATGCAGCTTTTGACTCAGCATTTCAGGCACAAAATCACCCACTGCTGGCCAAGAGCACACTCGTTTACGGGGACCCTATAGAGCACTGCTGGGAGATGTGGCCTTTTGGTGCTGTTTGACCCAGAGATCACTTGGTTTCCACCCCAAAATCACCTGCTTGGGGAGCTGTTCCAAAAACCTGTCCACTCCAGGACCAACATCTCTCCAGGAAGGGCCAGACCCAACTCTTGGCCATCCCACAGGCATTTCCCCATGTCAACGAGAAAACTTTGGTCCCAAAGAGAGACACGCAGTGGAGAGGGGACACAAAACATCCCGCATGTCATCGAACGGCGGAATTCTGGGCACAGTGGGCACTTACCACCTGGGGCTTGCTCTTGGGGTCAGGCTGCCGGGGGCACCTGGCGGGCTCAGGGGCGGTGGGTGTCACAGGCGAGGAGCGGGACCCATCCCCAGGGCTGGGGGACGTGTCACTGGAGTTGAGGGCCAGCATGTAACGCTTGGTGACATCCTCCAGTGATGGCGGCTGTAGGGCAGGGAAGGATTTGACGGGGGGACGGGCGGCCTCCAAAGTGGGGTGCTGGGCATGGTGGCCAGCATGCGGCTCGGGGACCGTGATGGGGACGAAGGTGGCAGGCTCGCTGGTGTGCCGCACGTGCTTGGTGGCCGGGCGGGCTCTGGCCATGGTGGCGGGCACCACCTGGTTCTCCTGGTGGGACACGCGGCCGCTGCGCTTCTTGGAGCTCCGGCGGGCGCCGCGTGGTGACAGCACCTCGGCCAGCTTGGGGTCAAAGCCGTAGCCGTGTCCAACACCCTGGGGACAGGCAGGGACAGCTCTCTGCTCCGAAAGGATGGGCTCGCTGCTGGATGGGGGGATGCTGCCCTCCAGCTCACTGATGGCCTCGCCGGGTCCCTCAAAGGCACCCGCCGGCAGCTCTCCGCGGCGGCTGGGATCGCTCAGAGATTTCTTCTTGATGGTTTTCCCGTTGCCCTTCTCATCGATGACTTTATCCATGGCGCCGGGCTGGCTGACGATGGTCTGGATGAGGCTGCTGTAATCTCGCAGCCCGTCGCTGCAGAGCGACAGGTCGCTGCCTGCGCTGCCCGCGTGCCCGGCCAACGCGATGGCCGAGGGCTGCGGGATGCCGCCCTTGGCGCTCAATGAACCCAACAGGTTGCTGTCAACGGAGAAATTCTTCGCGTCCTCCGTCACCGGACAACGCCGGTGGGGCATGGGGTCACTCAGGGAGCGGTAGGGCTCACCGGGACCCTCCCCGATGCCACTCTCCACCCCATTGATGCCCACCGAGGGGAATTTCCGCCGGCGCCGCAAGCTGCTGGGTGTGCTCGGGGTCTCTGACGGCGCTTGGGCCTTGCAGGCCAGAGCATCCTCTGCAGCCGGAGCGGGGGTTGGAGGTGGCTCGGTGGCAGTGACACTGTTGTCATGCAGCTGCCAGGTCTCGCGTAGGTCCCCCAAGACCACCCCAGTGGGCCCTGGCTCTGGCTCAGTGACAATACCCTCGTCCGTCACGCTTGACTCGTGACCCAGCAGCTCCTCCACAGACTTCCTGCAAGAGACATTCTCCTCCAACTCCACCTTCTTCAAACACTGCGTGCCCACTGGCTGCCCCCGAAGGGCCACGTCCATCCCCACCATCGCTGCCACCTCCTCAGCTCCATCCACACCTCCGCTGTCCTTCTGCTCGGCCGCCAAGCCATAGTCCTGCTGGGAGCCCATCCTGCTGATCTTCTCAAAGACCTGCCTGGCCTCCTGGATGTACTGATCCTGGATGACCACGGGCAGCGCGTCCTCATCATCCCCCATCCTCCCACCGTCGTGGCTGCCAGCAGAGGCCAGGAGGAGCTCGGAGGAGCTCTGCTTCATGGCGCTCTGCAGGAAGAGCCGCCTCGTCCCCGACTTGTCTGAGCAGGTGAAGGACTTGGCGCGGCGCAACGTGGCCGTCAGGTCCTTCAGCGTGGGCCGTTCGCCCGGCGCCCAGCGGCCGGAGGGCTGAGCGGAGCCACGGGTCCGAAGGTTGGATGCGGGGACGTCGTAGGCTGCGGCCTCGCCGATCCTCACCCCTTTTTTCTTCACCTTCAGCTCCGACAGGTCCGACTTGAGGAAGCTGAGCAGCGTCAAAGTCTCGGTGGCGATGTCAGGGTTGGATAAAGACTTGCGGTGCTCAGCGCGGTCTCCCACCGGCTGTAGAGCATCGCTCCCCAAATCCGCCCTCACCTTGGCCATGCCCGAAGGCAGCTTGGGCCGGGCTCGGATTTGGGGCTGCCCCCACGCCAACCCATCGTTCGGCCCCAAAGCGGGCGATCGGCGTCCTCCGTGCAACGCCCAGCAGCCCGCTGGCTGCTCCTCTTCCTTCAGCGTCTCACTGCTGGCGTAGCGGCTCCCGGCGGGGCTGCCGAAGGGCAGGAGGTTCACCTTGGCCACGCGGGCAACCACGGGACCGGCGGGGGCCAGCGGCTGCCTGCCGCCCGCTTTGCCCGGCACCTCTCCGTCCCTCTCGGCCAAACGTTGAGCGCTTCGCCCTTCTCCTTCCGCACCCCGACGCGGCTCCTCCAGGCTGCGGGACGAGGAGGAAGAAGAAGAGGAGGAAGGAGGAGGAGGAGGAGGGTGGGTCGAGCTATGCCAGGAATGCGGGCCGGGCCCCGGCGGAGCTCCGCGGGCAGCGCGCAGCGCGGGGTGCGGGACGCGGCTGCGGGGCGGAGGCGGAGGGGGCTGCGATGCCCGTCCGGAGCCGCTCCCGGCTCCGCATCCCGGGGAGCGCCGTCCGTTCTCTCCGAAGAGTTTGCGCATCGCCGGGACGCTGGGCCAGCGCGGCGGCTCCGCGCTCAGCGCCGGCCCCCGAGGCGGTAGAGGAGGAGGAAGAGGAGGAGGAGGAGGAGGCGGCGGCGGCGGCGGCGTCCCGGCATGGGCCGGGCCCGGTGCTGGCTCCGGCTCGGCGAAGCGAAGGGAAAGCTGACGAACCGATGGGGCCAGGCTGCGGAACGCCCGACCCGGCGATTCGGCGTTCGGCGGCGGCGAAACTTTCCTAGCCGGGAACGAGAAGGAGGAGGAGGAGGAAGGCGGGGAGGAGGCGGGCAGCATTCGGCCCTGCAATGCCCCCCGGCCGCTGCCCCCCTCCGCCATTGTGTGCCCCCCCCGGGGCCGCCTCCGCCCGCCCCCCGCTGCCCCCCGGCACCGCCCGGCCGCGCTCCTCCTCCGGGCCGCCGCCGGCCTTCATCCCTCCCGCTTTGTTTTCTCTCTCTCTCTCTCTCTTTTTTTTTTCCAGCTTTTTTTCCTCCCTCCCTCCCTCTTTTTTTTTTTTTTTTTTTCTTTTTCCCTCACCCCCTTCTTTTTTATTTGTTGCATTCAAATAAACTTTCCCCGAGAGGCGTGGTTTCCTCCTGCAGAGGGGGATGGTTGCAGGGCTGCGGATTGTCCTTTTTTTTTCTCCCCTTCTCTTTTTTTTTTTGGCAACGGCAGAAGGAGAGCAGGCCGAGCGATCACCCCCCGCATCCCTCCTCCCTCCCTCCCCATCTTTTCCTCCCTCTCCATTTCTCTCAACTTTTTTTGTTTTTGTTCTTTCTGCGAGGAAAACCCCATCAGGAGGTTAAAAGTCGGGGCTGAAGGCAGAGACCCTTTTCCTCCCCGCCCCCCCCCTCCCCCCCCCCCCCCCCCCTCCTCCCGCCTTGGGCCCCCCCCCCCCTTCCACGAGCCCCGGCAGCGCTCTGCTCTGCTTAACGATGTTCTCGTGGCTTTTCAAGCCTCCAAACGCTGCCAGCGCTCCGTGCTTGCAGGCACTGATCTCCATCTCCCAAGGGTTTATCGCGGAGGAAACGAAAATGAATGGGATAACCTCGATTTGCTCTGCTGTGGCACCACGGAAAGGACTCTGCTTTCTCTGTCACAGGGGCACAGAAACTTTCCAAGTGCCCCCAGTAGAGCCCTGAGCCCCGGGGGGGTTCTGTCCCAACTCTCCCTTTCTTCCTGCCCCTCTGCCCCCGGGGCTGGGTGTTCCCACGCTGTCCCCTGGCATTTGGGATGTGGTTTAGGGAAAAGCTTTGTGTTTCTTCTGCTTTCGGTGCTGCAGGAGCTGCTCCTTGGGCTGCAAGTGAAGGAGACACGTCTCCAAGTGTCCCCCTTCCATCCCATCCCCCCAGGAGTTGCTGTGCCAATCACCTCAGCCTCTGGGCCTGGTGGCTTTACAGGGTAACACCGCCACCACCACCACATCCACACCATGGATCTGAGAAGGAGCCATCAGACCCTAAGGCTGGGCAGACCAGAAGCCCATCAGCTGAGCTCCTGAGCACACACACAGGGTTGGCACTTGCACCTCCCACACCTCTTTGTGGTGTATGCAGTGACCCTGCCCCAAACCTGCAGCGTCCCCACAGAGTCCCCAAATCACAGAGACCCCAAATCTCTCTCCTAGGCACTGAGCGGAGGTTGCTGTCTGCTTGCACACCCCACAAAGGTATCCTGGGGGCATCTGAGCTCCTGGGGAAATACAGAATCTGTCCAGTTTTGCCTTTTTTGGACTTCCCTTGGCATCGTTTTGCCCAACTTTCCATAGTCAGCCCTACGTCCACTTGGCGCAGGGTCTCGGGGTGCTTCCTGCATCCCTCCACTCCCCTGCGCACACATTCCCCCAAACCCCAAAATCTGACGTCCTCTCCAAAACCCAAAAGATTTTGTGCACTCTCCGAAATTCGGAGATTTTTTTCTTTTAATTTTTTTTTTATTTATTTATTTTCGCCCTTTCCAAACCTGAAGACGTTGCGCCCTCTCCTGGGTCCGCGTGGTGTGGCCGAACGTGAGCGCAACGCCCTCCTCTGCTTTGTCTGGGGGAAACCTGGGGACAGCTGCGTCCCCTCCAACCACCCGTATTAATGCATCATGCGGCCTTGTGGGGATGGGAGACCCCAAAAACGCATTGGAAGAGATTTCATTGGCTACAAGCAAGGGGAACCCAAAGACCACCTCAAATCCATCAAAGTCCACCCCAAATCCACCTCAAATCCACCCCAAGTCCACCTCAAGGCCATTCAAAGTCCACCTCAAGGCCACCTCAAGTCTACCTCAAGTCCACTCCAAGACCACTCAAAGTCCACCCCAAGTCCCACCCAAGGCCTCCCAAAGTCACCCAAGTCCACTTCACATCCACCCCAAATCCACCTCTGCCTCTTCCATTGCCTCCTGCATCCCAACCAAACGCACCCTGTCCCAACTCTTCCCCCTTGCTTTGGCAAAGAGAAGGAAGAGCTCAAGATGCAGTGCATTGGGATTAACTGGGGAGCTTGGCCGGGTGGCTTTGCACAAGCATCCAGTCTAGAGGGCTGCTAATTGCTGAGATTGAAAGCAAATGGCTTCGATTGACTTAGATGTGACTGTTGCACACCAACACCTGTGAGGTACACGGCACCCACAGATCGACACACATATAGGCACACACGTAACGTGGTGTGGATATTCGAGGTGTATTTTGAGTGGAGCGTATCTGAGCAGTGCTACGACCTTCCTCTGCTTGGCTGATGTATATATGGGTACATATGGCACCTGTACATTGTTGGGTACATACAGGAAAAAGGAGGGCAGGTTTATTCTATACGTCATCCTGGATGTTAAAGACATCAAAGCAGTGAGAGGTACATCCACAGTGCCCAGCGTCCTGGTGGCGATGGCTCAGCCTCCTCTGGATGATGTCCCATGCAAACCACAGTGCTTTGATTCACTGGCTCAGCACTGTTGCCCTGCAGAATGCACATCAGATGTGGGGCTCTGGGAGACAGGGGTGGCAGAGGATGCTGAGAGTCCAAGGACAGTGATGCTGGCATGTGCCTATCAGCCCGTGGCCATCGCCTGGGTGGGAATTGTGGCATTGGTGTCCCAGTTCCCCTCATTCCCCCTTCCCAGCTCCTAGTGGTGCTCTCTTGCACCACTGGGCCCACATCTCTTGTTGGTCCAGTCCCATTTTTGGATATGCCAGAGTTACCACTGAAATGTCCGTGACGTTGAACTTTTCCTCTCCTGGAGACATGGAAGTTCTATTGGTATTTGGGACCCCTGAACTGCTCCACAGTTTCACTGGGGAAAAACACAGAGCCACATTTCCCAGCCCCCCAAAAATCCTTCCCAGGGATGGTACAGGCCCATAAGATGAGGAGAAGCTTTGAACACTGGCCCCACTGGTGACATTTTCTGTGTTGGTGCCTCAGCCTCCACCAAAACTTGGCACAAAGCAGCTAAAACCAGGATGGCATTGTGTAATTGGTGAGAGCCAACAGACACCACGTGGGCTCTGTGCTGGGATGATCTCCACACTGCTGTGGGCTGGAGACGGGATGGAAGTCAGTCTGGAGATGGTAGAATGATAGAATGGCTTGGGTTGGAAGAGACCTCTAAGATCATCTATTTCCAATCCATGAGGGCCCAGAGCCCCATCCAGCCTGGTCTCGAACAGCTCCAGGGATTGGGCACTCACAGCTCTCTGGGCGCATCCCCCATCTCCTCACCATGCAGCTTCAACTCAAATTGCTCCATGCCCAGCCCCCGGTGACACCGAGGTGGCCTCGTCCACCTAGGAGCCGTAGGTGATGCAGTGGTCGTGCCGCCACTTGGAGCTCATCTTGTCCAGGAGATAGCGGGTGCTCTCACGAAACTTGCGTTGGGTGAAGTAGAAGAGGATGGGGTCGAGGACGCTGTTCATGCTGGCGAAGGGCCGCGTGCACTTGTAGGCAATGGCAAAAGCCTGCAGGGTCGGGCAGGGCAAGGTGGGTGAGGAGCGGACGATCAGGTAGATGGTCTTGGTGAGGTGGAAGGGGAAGAAGCTGATGGAGAAGACGATGACGACGATGATGATCATGCGCACGGCCTTGTCCTTCTTCTTGTGCACCGCCAAGCCGATCAGCTCATCTTTCTGGCACAGGATGCGGGCCATGCTGCAGTAGCAGGCCAGGATGGCTGCAAAGGGCAGCAGGAAGCCGGTGATGGTCAACGTGATGCCGTAGGGGAAGTAGGATGCGGAGCGGTCCGGAGGGCTCAGGTCATAGCAGACAGTGCGATTCCTCTGCGTGCCGGTGGAGGCGAAGACGAAGGTGGGCAGGCACTGGGCGATGACGATGAACCACACTGCAGCACACACCAGCCACGTCAGCTTCTTTCCCTTCTTTTTGTGCCACGAGGCCAAGGGGTGGCAGATCCCCATGTAGCGCTGGACGCTGATGCAGGTGAGGAAGAGGATGCTGCCGTGCAGGTTGGTGTAGAACTGGAAGCGGACAAATTTGCAGGTGAAGTCCCCGAAGGGCCAGTAATCCTTCTGGGTGTAGTTGTAGATGAGGAGAGGGAGGGAGCAGACGTAGAGCAGGTCGGCTGTGGCCAGGTTCAGCATGTAGATGGTGGTGCGGGTCAACGCCTTGCGGGCCAGCCAGATCTGCCCAATGACAACGGCGTTGAGTGGCAGCCCCAGTAGGAACACCACTGAGTAGACCAGGGGCAGCAGGACCTGCTTGAATTCCTCATGGAAGGTGCACGAGTTCCTCCCAGCTGTGAAGTTGGCCATGCTGATGGTCCCCTCTTCACTGGGTGAAGTGCCTGTGAACGACAAATGGGGCAGTCAGTGGCTTGGCCGTGTATGATGCACTCAGGATGGACCTGCACTGGCATGTGCAGTCCCATAGCCTCATCTGCCACCATCCCAAGGCAACACAGATCATAGAATCACAGAATCACAGAATCACAGAATCACTGAGGTTGGAAAAGACCTCTAGGATTTCCAAGCCCAACCCTAGCCCATCTCCACTGCTCCCACTGACCACAACCTTAATGCCACACCCCCACTGTTCTGAACATCCCCAGGGATCACAGAATCACAGGATGGTTTGGGTTAGAAGGGACCTCAAGGATCACGAAGCTCCAACCCCCCACCAATGCAGGGCCACCAACCTCCCCATCTCACAGCAGCCCAGGCTGCCCAGGGCCCCATCCAACCTGGCCTTGAACACCTCCAGGGATCACAGGGGCATCACAGCCTCTCTGGGCAGCTGTTCCAGCACCTCACCACTCTCTCTCTAAACAACTTCCCCCTGACATCCAACCTCCAGCTGCCCTCCCTCAACTCCAAACCATTTCCCCTTGTCCTGCTGCCA